GACAAGGCAGGGAAGAGATGGGGCACTAACAACAACGAGGACCAAAAGAAAATGTTCTGAAATGGATTGTGGCGATGATTGCACAAATATTATTATGATTGAGTGATTAAATTGCTTGATATATGAATTATATGCCAATGAAACTATGTTTAAAACATACTAACTAGTTCACTGCCATGGAGTTGACTCCAACTCATAACAGGGACAGAATAAAATTGCCCCCTGTTTGGGATACAGAAAGATTTCTCCCAAGTTGTCTCCCCCAAATATATGCCAAACCCAAGAGGTTGCTTGCTGCACATGGTAATTGACTCTGCACTAGGAGGTCAGCTAAGGAGGTCAGAGGTTATTCTCCCTAAGGGTTTTCAGCCATCTAGAGCAACCACACTGTACAGTCTGACCCACCCTAAGCAGGGTCCACTCCCTTCTGATGAGGGTAGTGATTGTTCCCTTGGAGAACCCAAAGGCAAGGTTGGGACCACTCAAGGATGACTAAGGTTAGGCTACCGTATTGAGTCTAGGGTCCACCCATCTTGCCACATATGTACCCCTATTCTCTCCTTTTGTGATTGCGTGTACACCCCTAGTTTATCCCTCTCCTATTGCTTCTATTGCCTATGTTACAGCCCCTTCCTATGACATAGGTCATTATCTGTAATCAGGAGGCTTGCATGCCCCCAAAGATATATACGCGTTGGTTAGAAATAAATCGAGCTCTCTCCTGCCCTCTCGTCTCCCCCCTCCACCTGTACCACCAAGAGGAGCTGAGGTGAGCATGCGACCATGAAATGTGCCTGACTTCTTTATTTTAGCCTCTCTCCTACCTCATCTATTCTCGGTGACTTCACTATAATCTTTGTATATCGTATCCTACAGTTGTGCCTACTGGACCCGTGATAGTTGTGAGGGGCTGGCTACCCCCTGTGGGTTTCAAGTTTCAAGGCTGTCCATCTTTATGGGAGCAGACAGCCTCCTCCTTCTGCCTCAGAGCAGCTGGTGGTTTCCAACTGCTGACTTGTGTTGGCAGTGCAATGCGTAGCCCACTACACCACCAGGGCTCCCAAGGAGCCTCTTGCTGAACTCAGATTTCCAGCCTTCTGCTGGCAGCCAAGAGTCCCCCAACACTGGCAGGCTTTAGAGCTTTCACTCACCTGTCACCTAGTTGAGTGACCCTGATGGCACCAGCTAGTGGACCTCCTCAGCCTCTGACCCCAAACACCAAACTCACTGCCGCTGAGTCAGCGACTCCCTAGGACAGGTGGAACTGCCCCTGTGGTTTTCCACAAGGCCAACTTTTTACAGAAGTAGACAGCCACGTCTTTCTCCCACAGAGCGACTCCTGTCCAACTGCTGAAGAGTAACCGCCAAGCCCGGAAGGGACCATGCTCAAACTCACGGCCATCGGTTATCGGACGGAAGCTGGCCCCTAGCAGCCCTTTAGACAGGTGGAACTGCCCTTGGGGGTGTCTGAGATGGTAGCTCTTTCCGGAAGCAGGAAGCCCCATCTTCCCCCCCATCCTAATGTCCTTCAAAGGCAGACACAGGCATCTCCTGAGCGGCAGCGATTCTGTTAGGGTGCAGAGAACGTACCACACCAGGGGAAATCCTCCGTGGGGAACGACGGAAATAAAGGTTGTTTGGGGGAATTAAAATGTCAATCATAGGATTTCTTGGCACTTGTGTCATAATAAACCGGCTACGGAAACGCACTCGTAATTTCCAAAGTGTGTCACAACAAAATCCACCGGCTGGTCCGCGATGGTAACGGTCAGGGTTATGGCTGGTGCAACCTCGCCCTCTGGTGACGGAAGCAGGTGGTGCTCCGATCTCACGATGGGGAATCGGGACAAAACCATAATCCTGTGCGGAAGGAAAGGAAACACGGGCGTTACTGTTGGTCCCACCGCATCACGCAGACAGGACCACCGCAAACGAGCGCAATGACGGCACGGACAATGTCACGGCTTAGAGTGTTCGTGCGCTTGTTGATTCTGCATCTCTGTCCCACCGCGCGTCTTGCGGTGACACTTGGCACCACCGGTTCTCAATTCTGTTAGGGCTAAACACATTGCCAGCTGTTCAAATTCTAAACACATTGCCAGCCGTTTGAATTCACCATGACCTCTGAGGGAGAAAGATGAGGCTCTGTACTCCCATAACGGCCGTCTTGGAAGCCCCGGGGAGAGTTCTATCTGGTCCTACTGGGTCTCCAGGAGTTGGCGTGGCCTCGATGGCAGGGAGTCTGCTTTGGTTCCGAAGAAGCCCTGGCAAGAGCCTGCGGGAGACAGTGGGCTAAGCACTG